ACAAAATTTAGATTACTCACGGCTTCATTATTATTTAGAAGTTGTAATTTTCCTTTTTTTAACTCCTCATAAAATCTAGCGAATTCTATGACACCTCAATCGGATATTATCCCGCTTTTTCTCACATCAACATACCTAAAATAGTTGATAACTACTAAATACAATTGCCATCAAAACAATACTATAAAATTAGTTGTAATTGTGGTCCCGGGAGGAGGTGGTCGCAAAATTCGTATCTGTTTTTCATCCATTGAACCACCACAGTCTACAAATTGCATCAGCCACAAAATCCTATTGTAACAGTTTTCCATTCTTCTTTCGTTGAAGGGAACTAAAATACGATTTTTTATGAAAATGTATTAACACCGGCGTATATTAAAATATTATTATGTATAACAGCGATTCTTCACCTGTAGCAGCCTTAACCCCTAACGTACGTCAATACGTTACATAAGTGTAGTACTACATTATTTTTGAATTATTATTTTATTTTTATTTTTTTATATAAAATATATTTTATATTATAAGAGAAGATAAGCCTACCTTATCTTTATTACACCGATAACAACGAAATTCAATACTCAAAAATTCTAATGAATTAACCAAAGAAGAATTGTCTGATAAAGATTCTAAATATTTCATGCAACATATGGGTGATATGCAGCGTAGCTTCCGTGATTACTTTCTATTCCAGATAAAAATAGACATTGGATTCGACAACCTTTTGAAATTGATATTCATCAAATGAATGGACTAACATCATTGGAAAAAGACAGCCTTGTAGAAATTTCTACAGACAGTAGTTTAAAAATACAATTCAATCAAAAGTCGTTGAAAAATTTTAGTTGCATGTTTGAAAAGATCATCCAGAATTATCAAATAAAGCGCTGAAAGTTTTAATTCCATTTTTCTAACTTTTTTATGTGAAAAAGTTTTCTCTGCTCTTGTTTATATTGAGAATAAGTTTTAAAACCGAACAGAAAACATAGAATTTGAACTACGATTAAAGCTTTCAAGAATTGAGCCTGATGTTCAAAAACTCATAAATCATCGCATTAAGACTTAATAATTAAGTAAATACAAATTACATTTTAAGAATTTTAAAAGTAAAATAATTTATATTACAATTTTATGAAAAATTAATTTTGATAAAAATAAATATAAATGTATATTTTTTGTTATGTATACTTCTGTAATTTGTAATAGAAATTTATCATCATCATTTTGGTTTATCATAACATGAGATTTTTTGTAAAAAAAAGGTATTCCACAAAAAATTGGTAGGCGTTCTCGATTTCTAAAAATCTTTTATCGGAGATCCGTATTTTACAAAAGGTTAACCGCTGTTGCATATTATTATTTATTAGTATTATAAATTAATCAATTTTAGTTCAATTTAATATATTATTTATTCTTTTGTATTTTAATAATTAAAATGCATGCCTCAGCAAGTTAATGATAATTTTTAATTGAGTTAAGTTAATTTGATAGAAAACATTTATAAAAGTTTAAATATTTTAAATATTTAACTTTTAAAACTATTGTTTAAATGGATTTATACTATTTGTATGAGGTTGTTCAAATATACAAATTCAAAGTTTAATTAATTTTAATTATGATGGTATAAAGTAGAATAAACAGTGGCAAAATTTTTGAATACTAAACATGTGCCTACAAAAATAGAAATGGAAATGTAATGATCTCCAAAATGGTTTTTTAAAAGAATGTTCAGAAGCGTTATACAAAGATGATATTGACAAATTTAACGTTATTAGGATAAATGTTTCTTCGAAACTGAAAGAAATTGAACCGAAACTAAAACATTCAAGCTACACTTACTAATTTATCCAATACCTATACTTTTTCGCATCATACCTTCACCCAACTCTGCCAACAATGTTTTTTTGAAATTCAACAATCTAAATTTTACTCTTTAAAACATTGTAGTGACAATATTCCAAGTTAATGACAAAATAGAATCTTTTGTTAAAAAGTTAGAATTTTGGAAGTCGTTTATTGAGAATAATTAACAGATATTTTTTAACACTATGATTTTCTCACTGAAGCTGACATGAATTTATCACGTTATAATAAGACATCAAAAACTAAATTATTTAACATTTGAATGGACCCAAAACAGCTTTTGAAAAATACTCCCCTAAATGCGGAAAAGACCACTGGATTATGTTTTAAATCTGCAGTCTTATCAGTCAAAGAAAAAGAAAAACCAATTAACTGAAAACGGATTCTTTACTTCGCCTTTTTGGGATGAAGAGAAAGACGAATATCCAGAGCTTTCCTATAAAGCATTAGATTAGGTTTTTCTATCACTCACGAGCTCTATGTTAATGGAGAGAGTTGGAGAGAGCTTTTTCGTCATACACATTCATTAAAAATAAGTACCGTAATAGACTTTGTGAATTCAGACTTACAAGTTCATTTATTATCCGTGAACCAAGATTTCGTGAATTATAAAAAGGGTTGAAAACTGCTGCTGTAGAAAATATTTTTGAGGACCAAATGGCATTGATACCGTACGCCTGAACTGTTTGTATTCCGTGTTGGAATCACATACTATGAATATTTCTACAAGTTAATTAACCTTAAATTAATTGTAAGATATTAAATAAAATGATAGAGAAAATTAATAGTAATGATTATAATAATTTCTTTAATAGTAATAATGTTAAGATATATTGTAAAATCTCTTCGATTCATAATAACGTATATTATAATAATGTACATTTAATTTTTTGCTTGCAGCTTTCTCTGCCAGTCTTCTTTGCCCAGCATCCACAGCACGATAGAGGTAACGCTGCTCAAAAAATGTTTGCAAAACTAAAATTGCTAGGCAAAGATATTATTTATGATGAGTTTTACAAACTGTTTGTAACCGTCTTCCAAGACCAAAGTGTGCTAAATACTTGTAAAGAAATTTACTCGTCTCAGGTAAAATATAATATAGATATTTAACAAGCACTGTAGTTATATTAATGCATAACAAAAAAAGCTTTACAAAATATTTCATATGTACAAATTATATATAGTTGACTAAAATAATTCAATAATATGTAACCTTATTTCGATAAAGAAAACAATTAAGTCTAAATTTTGATTTTAATTTTGTTTTCATAAAAATACAACGGCAGAGAACTTGTAGCTTTAAAAATCACCAAATATGTATATTTAAGTGAATATTTGGTGATTTAAAATGAATATATTTTATTTAAATTTTAAAATAAATACAACTTACAAAAAGTAATGAATTATTTTTAAGTATGGGTTTTCAGATACGTACTTCTTTAAATATTAATATTTCAACTTCTTGAAATTCTAAAAAATAATTGATACACGTTTTTAGTTTCAAATGTTAAAATTACCATATATTTTTACTTTGAAAATTACATGAATAATTAGATGTTTTTTCAAATTTTTAAACGTATAACTTCTTCTATTGTTAGCTAACAGTAATTTGAACATTGTAAAAAAATGTTCAACATCCACAGAATTTATAGGAGCATATTTAAAATATACTAAATTATCAAGGCTTAAGTTTTCAGGTATTCCGTTCATTGATATTTCTTCACCAGATAACATTTTTGAAACTTGAACTAATGTTTTGCAACCTTTGTTTTTTTTTTTTTCTAAAACATCATTCATTTTTACTTGAACCATTTTTCCCATTGTATCGGAAACTTAATTCAATTTTAGAAAAATATCTTCAATAATTTTTATAGCAACTGACAGTGGAATATTTTTTGCGAAATCGTGAATGAATTCAGAAACATCAATATGTTCTTCAATACCAACCTTAAATGTTGGTAACTCATTACCAAGTGTTTTTGAATTTAAAAGATATACTACAATATGAATAGGCTTAACTATGTCGGTTTGATAATATATTACCTAAAGGTTATTTTAATCTTTTAAATCTTCTAAATCTATCTCTTCAACTACTTCAATTAATTGTAACTTTAAATTTTTAACTGTTGGATAAACTCTTTAAATAATGGGTTTGTTGCCTTTTAGAAAGGTTATTTGCATTGAAAGTAGGTTCTATCCATTGCATCATCGAATCAACAGTTTTTCCCCAGTCGATAGTTTATATTTATTAAAATTTAGTTATATTGGTAATGATGTATTAATATTACACCAAGATACTGCATTCAGTCTTTTAAAATAAAACAGTTTAATAAATCACATTATAATACAAAAATAATAATCGTGAAATTGGGGAAAGTTGGAAAAGTATTATAAAAGAAAATTCCCAACAATATAACTTTTCCCAGGAATATTTCTAATGGGACATCGTTAGTAATTTATGGTCGTTTTAATATTCTAATTGAAATATAAAATTGATTGTTGACTATTTTGTTGTTATTGTGACAACATTATTACAACTTTTTATATTAGATTATTGCAAACAGGCCCGACGAGAGGGGGGGGGGGGGCAGCCGGGGCTGTAGCCCAGGGGCCCGGGCTTCAAAAAAGGCCCGGGGCCTGACCAAATCCACTTCTTATCGATCACGGTGTCAAGCTATTTATAAACCACGAATATGAATCGTAGTTATAATTTTAGCGTATGCTGTATAATTATTAAAATAGATCGACAATAAAGTGAATTTTCACACTACAATATTAAAGTTAATCGTAGATATTATATAACATTTTCAAGAAAGACACATAGATTATAAATAGTCATTTTTATTTAGTCTGTGGAATAACTGCGATTGCCGATAAGATAACGCGTCGACGCATATTGTTACTCACACACACGTTATATACTTATACGTATTCTTGTTAGTTTACGTGCGTGTCCCGGCTGCGGCGTGTTCTACAGCTTTGTAATATTGTTATTATGTAGTGAAATAAAACCGTATGTGATATGACGTGTTACTGTGTTAGTGTATAACTATACATTATAATAGTGTTTGTATAATAGACTATTTAGTACTTAAAAAAAAACTTTCCTAGTCAATCGTATCCTCTGCGTCTTTGCAATGGATTATATTCATAAATCAGGTGCAAAAAAGAGAAAAGAACGAGACTTACGAGAAAAAGCTGCAAAAAAGGGGCAAACTACTCTTGACCATGTAAGTTTTTTTACTAAACTCACTGATTCTCCAACCTCTGTAAATCAAGAAACTCTTCAAACATTTCAAAATTCTCCCATCATTCCTAGTACAATAGTTGATAAACTACAAACATACCAAAATCCATCTAGCTCAACCAAATCTGACCAACCGGGAACTATTTGCTCTATGTTAATAACTAGTGCCGAAACATTTACAAGCATTAATATTGACGAGAAAAAATCTAAAACTGTTAATACTTTATTTACAATTACAGATCCAAAACATCCCGGCAGTTCTAAGCCTTACGATTTTGACGTAGGACAGTTTGAATTTTTAATTTTAAAACAAGATGATATAAGTCAGGCAGTCCTTCGTGGTCCTTCTCCCCACCCACCTTATTTCCCAGAAGATAAAGAAGGGCGTGCTTTTCCTCGTTCTGTTTTAACGTATACACTTCAAAATAATGAAAAAATATGCAGAGATTGGCTTGTATGGAGTAAGATTAAAAAATCACTGTATTGCTTTCCGTGTAGGTTATTTAGTAAACTACCACAACCAAGTAGATCAATGTTGTCAACTCCTGAAGGATACTCTGCAGACAACAAGTGGAAAAAATTACATGATAGAATAACACCTCATGAAAACAGTGTCAATCACAAAATGTGTTATGTAGAATGGCGTTGTCTGGAGTCTCGTATAGATAGTAAAACAACTGTAGACATGTTGCTGTGTGATAATATAAAAAATGAAGCAGATAGGTGGAGACAAATTTTGCGCCGAATTTTAGATGTAGTGATTTTTCTAGGAGAACGAGGCCTATCATTTAGAGGGGACAGTCATCTTGTAGGGAACCCACATAACGGTAACTTCTTAGGTATTCTAGAGTTATTAAGTAATTATGATCCCTTGTTGAAAGAGCATATGAGTAAAGTCAGAGAGTCTCAGTCAACTCATAGCCGTATGCAAGTACACTACCTTTCCCCTGACAGTCAAAACGAATTTATTAAATGTTGTTCTAACCATGTTACACAAGCTATTTTGAAAGAAAGAGAAGATGCTAAGTACTACTCAATTATTGTAGATGCAACTCCAGACTCATCTCATCGAGAACAGACCGTATTTATATTGAGATATCTGACTTTATGTTCCACAGATCAGAGTTCTGAGTATGAAGTACAAGAACGTTTTCTTGCTTTTGTAGATTGCAACAAAAAAACCGGTGAGGCAATAGCAGAGCTTATCCGGAGTACTCTAGCTGAGCATCATATTCTACTAAGTGATTGCCGTGGTCAAGGATATGACAATGGTAGTAACATGAGTGGACAGTATAAAGGTGCGCAGAGTCGAATTATGAAAGAAAATTCTCTAGCTCTTTTTTCACCATGTGCCTGTCACAGTTTGAATCTGTGCGGAGTCGAAGCTGCTCAATGTTGCGTTGAGGCCATTACATTTTTTGGAAATCTACAAAAATGTTATAATATATTTAGTTCTAGCCCTCAGAGATGGGAAATCTTGCAAGGACATCTGAAATGTTCACTTCACAACATGTCTGATACAAGATGGTCTTCAAGAATTGAATGTGTCAAGCCATTTTCTATGAACATAGTAGGCATTAAAGAGGCGATCAAAGAGGTTCAAAATCTTAATCTAACTGCTGAAACTTTAAATGATCTTAGGGGACTTTCCAAGTATGCCGATTCATTTGAATGTGTAATTATGGCCTCTATTTGGTTTAAAGTGCTGACCACAATCGACTATAGAAATAAAGTCTTACAAACAAGAAAATGTACAATTGACGTGGAAGTGAAAAATTTAGACAGCTTGATAAATGATTTGACACATTTAAGAAATAACTGGGAAATGATTTTGGAAGAGTGTAAGCTTGTTGGTGGAAATATAAATAGTGCAATAACCTTTCCAAAAAAACGTACCATAAGAAAGAAACTAGCTGATGGGTCAACTCAAGTAGATGATTGCAACCGAGAAGAGAAGATTAAGCAGGTGTTTTATACTATAATTGACTGTGTGATAGCCAATATTACAGTACGGTACACTGCTGTTCGAAACATAGATGAAATGTTTAATTTTCTATGGAAATTTCCAAAATTTTCAACTGCAGAACTTGCTGAAAAATCAAACACATTTGTCAATTTGTATAGCAGTGACGTTTCTAGAGATCTGGTGGAAGAAATTAATCACTTGAAATCAATTCAGGCAGCTAACTTCAAAAATGACCTTTCACCTCTTAATCTCCTTAACACACTAGAAAAACAAAAACTGAAAAGCATTTTTCCAAATGTATGTATTGCTCTGAGGTTATTCTGCACACTGCCAGTGACTGTAGCTGAAGCAGAAAGATCTTTCAGCACACTAGCAAGAGTAAAGAACTTTCTCCGATCAACCATGGCTCAAGATCGACTTTCAAGTTTGGGCACACTTGCTATGGAACCTGATCTTGCTAGACAATTGGATTATAATAGCATTATCGATACTTTTGCAAACAAAAAAGCTAGAAAAGCTATTTTTTAAAACTCTTATAAATACAACTTAATATAATAATTACTTTGTACCATATTATATGTGTTAGTATATTAGTATATGACTTTGCCACTTTGGCTTTTAAATATTTTATACCACAAAACTTAAACCAACATAACAATAAAATTACAAAGTTTTGAATAATGAATAATATATTTTTATGTCTCGAAATTTGTGTAACACTTACATATTATCATAATTCATAAATCATAATTTGTTTAATATTTTTACATTATCTCTTTGGTATACACATTCCTAAGGACGTCACTGGATGTCAGTGGTAAGTTTAATACCTCGTTTGAGAAGGGCCCAGGTTGGCTTGTCCATGGGGCCCTTAAGTTCTCTCCACGGCCCTGATTGCAAATACACGATGATCACTCTCGATGCCTATTTGGCGATCGGCAATGATTAATTACAACAATTAAAAATATTATATTTATAACTCTATGCTATTTCTGAATTTTTATCGTAATTTTTTTTTTATTTACTCTAAATCTATACAAGTTGTCATGTATAAGTTGGGGAGGTAGAGCCCATATAAAGACTCATTGTGAGTTTTACTTTTACTCCTTTGAGGTCACTGTATACAGTATTTTGTTGTCCAATTCCCAAGTGGTGTTCATTGAGCCTAACCTTATGAAATATAAAATAGGGGAAATAGTTCCATACCAGTGGTCCTGTCCATTATTTCTTGGTCTGCTATAATTAGTCTGAAACTTTTTGACAGCTTAGTTATCACTATTTCAGGCCTCAATTGCTTAACCAAATTAATATATGGCGTATACCCACTTCTCTGATTTTCCGTAAGTGCATATACTTATAGAATAACACATGATACGCAGTATACGCGTATTTGAATGCATTTACTTGAAACAAATGAATAGGAATCTTGTTTTTTAAATGATATGCAAATTTTAAATGAACATACATGGCCTTCTACAGTTGAAAATATAAGATTTGGCGAAGATGAAATAAAGAGATTGACAAATAGATTTTTATTAAATACAAATAATACGATTCAGAGCTTTCGAAAATATATTAATAATAAAATTATCAATGACAAGTTAAAAGAATTGGACATTTAATAAAAACATTTCCTGTTCAACGCCGAATGTGAAGGGGGATTTAGTCAAATTAATTTGATATGTTCAGATCTCAGGTCAAGATTACCGTTACTAATATTTTTAGTCTAATGTTTATAAATATTAATGGACCACCAGTTGCAGTATGGAATCCAACAAATTATGTAAAAAGTTAAATGATCAAACATAGATCTACAAATGATAACAGATCTCGAAAAGTTGCAGAGATAAAATGAAGTGAAGAAAAGGCTAGTCTATGGAAAATTTTATAATTTGTTTATTTGTTTATAATTATATAAAAAATATAAATATTATAATTTATATTGTATTTATACATAGAATTATTTATATATTTTATTTTGTATTTGATTATTTGATTAAAACTTAATATTACTTGAATACTTATTCTATCTGTATGTTATTAACCCAATATAGTCAATGTAGGAAATCACAAAAATAAAAAAATAAATAAAATATATAGTAATATATATTCAAGAAGTATGATTTGTAGACTGTAAAGACTCAATTGCGGCAGAGAAATAATATAGTGTATGTAATTATGATAAATATAAAACAATATTAATGTAGCATAAAGGATCTTTGTGGGGGGGGAGGAGGCAAAGCCACCACGTTTATATTTCGATCACATTTAAGCGTATACTCATTCAGCTTCAGTCAATACAAAGCCATACTACGATCTAATCGCCGAGCATTCATTTTCGAAAATTTGAAAAAATATGTGGTTGTAGCATGTAACACACGTAGTCAATGCGAATTATAAATTTTATTAATTTTAAATTATTTTATTTTATTTTTAAGACAAACAGCCAACCTGTATTTCAATAAATAAATCTTTTTTTTTGTAACTATATTTTTGTGTTAATCTTATAAAAATTAAAATGCATATTTTTGCATATTTTGGTAAATAAAATGCATATTTTACAATTTTTTATTGCATACAAATCCTAGCCCTGCTCATTATACTCACTAAAAAAATTACGACTACATCACTGCTTATCCACAATTAATTTAGTAGTTTCAGAATGTATTGAATAAACCATACACACATATATATATATATATATGGTTTATTATATATCTCTTTGCTGGTATTCAAGACTGCAAATTATTACCAAACTGTTTTTACCCGTAAAAATATTAAATACTATTATAACTCTGTAATTAACAAAACGATTTTTTTAAATAGATATCAAAAGGTGGTAATGATTTGAATTATGAGATAGATACACTTTTCCGACTTATTAGTGACAAAATATATCAGATATACTGGAATTTCGATGAAGATGAAATGCGTATGGTTCGTATGAAACGTATGTCCGAGGAAAACGAATCATGTTTAACAGAGATTCAATCACTGAGCGACGAAATTGCTAAAATGGTGATCGATCATAAAGATAAGATTCAAGAACACCAAATAAAAAAAATTCAATTTGACGAAGAAATGGTAAAATTATATCGAGAAGCCCGGCTGGAGAAAGTTCGGATTGAGTAAGATATACAATTATAAGTTCCTTATTCATACGCGTAAATTAAAATGGGATTAAAATATTTATTTAAAAAGTTATACAAGTAATTATTTTTAAAACAATTCTGAAACCCACGTTTTTAATTGTTGACATATGAATTTAAATATTGTAATTTCCTCCCTAGTTTATCAGTCATCAAATTATTTGTAGTTATTGCAAAGCTATTATTATTGTTACAATTATTATTAATTTTTTTTTTTTTATTTTAGTTTGATAGATTGTTAGAACTTAGCATTTTTTTTTCTTTGACATATATACTCCGTAGAAAATTTTTGTTCGGCAACACCAATTTTGTATTGTTAGTATTAATATTAAATTTTAATGACATATAAACAAATTTATAAAGTTAAGATAATATTATCTTTGCGAACACATCATTTTTTTTTTTAAGCGTTTTTAAATTGTTATATTTTTTATGCTCTTAAAAATAAGCAAATGATACCTACGTGAATCGAGATTGTAAAAAACATAAATTAACATAAAATAAATGGCTTGAATTTTTTCTACATCTATTTATGTCTATGAGCTCTGTCAGTTTTAGACATTCTAAAATTGGTTAGCACCAAAAATTTACGGAGTAAATTTATTCGTTTACTGCCTTTAAAGGTTTTCAGTTCAAAATTGCATCAGGTGTATCATTACAATTTAAATTTAAACAAGGGCGTTAGTCAAATTAGTAGTTTTAATATTTTTTTATATTAATATTAAACACTATAGTGAAATTTATAATTACTTACGGATTAAACCGAAACCATTGTAATTATTCTCGTAAATCTACATAAACTGACCACAAAGAAATAAAAAAAATTATGTACAATGTGTAATACTCATGGGCTCTTTAGAACTTCCGTCATTGTATGATATTTTATTTAATTATCCAATATGCTATCACTCTGTAATAAAATATGACATGTTAGAGCGACGTTTTGAACACCTTTTCTTGTATTTAGTACTAAATATTCATGTAGGCTATCCATAGATATTGGCCCAATTAGCAAATTAAAACCACGGTTTAAAATACTAAATGTAAATTTTTTAAATGCATTTTACCTGGAAGAAGATTTATCTTCAAACAAGTCACTACTGTTAAACCGTGGAAGATTAAGCTTTAAATATATATAAAGAGCAAGAAGAAAAAATATAGAATGCACTTTTGAGCTATGCATTCCTAATGGATACGTTTTAAGCATCGAAATTTATATGGGTACAAATAATTATTTATTGCCATCAACAAATGATTTAACAGATAGCCTAGTCCTTAGACTCTTATATTCATATTTATGCAAAGGCCAGCGTTTATTCATTGTTAATAACTAATACACTATTATATTTTCTAAATTATTATTAAAAAGAAAAACACACATTCTATGGAAACACTGAAAAACAAAAGAAAATTCTGAAAAGGTAATTAAAAAGAAATTGAAAATTGGTAATCACGTATGGAGGAGAAAAAAAATTAAATTTACATTTCATTATAGAAAGATAAACGTGACATCACAACTATCACTACCAATTAATATCCACAAATTATGACATTAATTATTATATGTATCTGTCATGTGGCTAACAAAAGTTAAAACCTAACCTCTTAAAATATAATGAAAATACAGTGGAATTGATAGATGTAACTAAAGCAAGGACTTTCATGCACTAAAAAATCATCAAACATGCATTTTAAAAAATGCTCTTATGCATCAAAAATTTAAACTATGCAGTTAAATATGCCCTTAAAAAAATTAGTACACTAAAATTTATAGTTCTAAAAATTATATTTTTTCTTTAAATATTTAATTTTAATAATTTTATATTATTTCTCTATAAGTTTTAACTGAATCTGACATCACTTTATTGTAATTTAATCTACAGATTCGCAACTATGATAAAATGACTCTCTTTCGTCTTTATGAAAATATAGAAACAGTTAAATATATAATTTGTGTCCTTAATCATGAAAAATATTCACTGAAAAACATGATTTTCGAAAAACCTTCAAAATATACACTACAAACTAAAAATTTGCTCTTATAATCAAAAAATATGTCCATTAAATCCAAAAAATGTCAAATTAAACAAAAATATGCACTAAAAACTTTAAGATTTTGGACATAAACGTTGTAAAATGTATTGTGTACTTACTCTGCATACAAAAAAGTAAACTAGAAAAAATATGTAAATGCATAAAAGTCCTTACTCTAGATGTAACCAAATGGTTAGCTATTACAGTGAACCCAGAAAAACAAGTAAATAGTATAAAAAATTATTCTTCAATTTTTAGACATTGCTGAATAAAATACTTTTTATTTATGACATATGTATAAATATATATAAAATATAATGCTGAAAATATTAAATTCAAGGATTT